CCCCCAAAAGGCGCGGCCCCGAAAGCGGGGGCTTGAAAGAGCCGGCGGGTCTGTGGGGCCCGGTCTGCCGCGCTGGAGCCGTGTGCCAGGCCGGGAGGTGTCTGGGGGCAAAAAAGCTGGTGGGAACACTAATAATAAACTGAACAGCAAGGCTGGGCTTGTGCTGAAGGCAGCCGGGGCCTGGGAGCTTGCAGGGCCACCAAGGCTGGGTGGTGTGCCTATTGTGTTAAGGAAAAAGGAAAAAAACTTAAAAAGAAAAGGAAAAAAACTTAAAAAGAAAAGAAAAGAAACTTAAAAAGAAAAGAAACTTAAAAAGAAAAGAAACTTAAAAAGAAAAGAAACTTAAAAAGAAAAGAAACTTAAAAAGAAAAGAAACTTAAAAAGAAAAAAAAAACTAAAAAAAAAAAAAAATCCTTTAAAAAACTCTTCTTTTTTTACGAAAAGGGACAGATTAGAGAATTCCTGAAATGAATTCACTCTGGCATTACAAGAACAGTGGCAGCACCAAAGCTCTCCTGTGTGGAACTTCTCTTTGTAATCTCAAATAAAAATCTTATTCACTGAAAGCAGCACGTCACAGAGGGTTTTCTCCTTCCATCACGCCTGCAGGGCAGACCCCCAGGACGTCTCGTGGGGTCTGAAAACCCAATGACGCCACGAAGCAGGGATTAAAAAATTCCTGTTTTCTTGTCATAGGGAACAAACCGGAGCAAACCGAGTCTGAACTTGGACTCGGCTCCTCTCAGGCCTGGCTGGAATCGCTGGGACCCTGGTGTCGGCCCGACCGCTGCCTCGGCCCACATCACAACCCGCTCGCAGCTGCGCACCACCTCGGGAGAGCCGTTCCGGCCCTCCAGGGTGGTTGGATTTTAGTCCCGAGATCAGTTAAGCTCAGTTAAGTGGTGCCGGCGCTGGTCCGTGGAAGAGAAGCAGCAAAGGGTTTTTTCGAGAGGAGCTGGAAGGAGAAAGCCCGCCTGGCACTCAAACGCAGAAGCATTTCGACGGTGAGGTGTTTTAAAGAATTCCGTCACAAAACCCGCAGGGAACGACAAGCGCTCCCCCTCTGCCCACAAAGCCGGGCTCAGACGATCCCGGTTCGTAGCAAGTCCCGTGCTTACGTCGACAACGTGCCGCCGCCGCTCAGTTCATCTCGCCGGGGGCAGCGTCGTTCCTCTGATCCCGCCGCAGACGTTACTCTCCAAAAATCCACAGAACGTTGACTCCCGACAAGCCGAGGTTTACGCGCCTGGAAAGCCACAAGTTGTTCTAAGACACCGCACGTAAATCCCAGCGCCCGTTTAAAACCACGAAACGAAAAGCTCTCAATCCCGCGCTCCGGCGTTTTAAGACGCAGGTAAGGCGCCGGGCGTCGCCGTGAGCCGGGAAGCCTGGACGTTGCTTTCGTGGCTCACGAACCGAAGAGTTCCCCGATTCGATGAACAAAGCTGCCACTGTTTGGACTGAGATGATGATTTTAACGGCATTAATTATCCTCCCGCCGCAGCCATTTCGTAGAATCACAGAATTCTATGATTCTATTTCAGACAAGGCGGTTCAAGAACAGGACTCTCCGGTCCCAAATCAGCGGCGCAATGACACGTAACATCGGGTACTTACCCGAGCATCCCGGATTCTTTTGTCTTGATGATGTACAGAAACATGAGCAGGGTATGGAACATGTTGTTTCTGCCCTGAATCCACAGGGGGGGAAAAAAAAAGGGAAGAACTTAGAAATTAAAGTCACTGATGAGAAATCAAAGCAGAATTGCAGGTGGAACAAGCGACCAAAGAGCAAACCATCACAAAATGCCGTAACGGGGAGGGTCGTCGGCTGTTTTGCCTTAATCTTTTACTTCTGTCAATTATTGGGCTTGTTCAGCCTGGAGAAGAGAAGGCTGCGGGGAGACCTGATTGCGGCCTTCCAGTACCTAAAGGGGGCCTATAGGAAAGATGGGGAACGTCTTTTTAGTAGGGCCAGCTGTGTTAGGACAAGGGGAAATGGTTTTAAACTAGAACAGGGTAGGTTCAGGCTAGAGGTAAGGAAGAAATTTTTTACAATGAGGGTGGTAAAACACTGGAACAGGTTGCCCAGAGAGGTAGTGGAGGCCCCATCCCTGGAAACATTCAAGGCCAGGTTGGATGGGGCTCTGAGCAACCTGATCTAGTTAGCAGTGTCCCTGCTCACTGCAGGGGGGTTGGACTAGATGACCACTAGTGGTCCCTTCCAACCCTAAACATTCTATGATTCTATGATTCTAAGA